TATATTGTGATTGACTGCTAATTTTAATATATTTTTAATACTATATAAATCACAATATGACGCATTTACAATATTTTATATGGATTGTTCTAAAGAATATTGACGATGGGGTATTGTAATAATATTGGTTAAAATTTTGTACATTATACATCTTCTGTTGTTTCTCATAACACGACGTTTCGGGAACTGGATCTGTCTCCGTCATCAGTTAAAATAAGGAGACAAAAGTATCCTACTCTGTGGGATCCCTTAAAAGGATCTAGTCTCCATCCCTGGATCAGGAGTGAAGGAAACGTCGTATTGTTATAAACAACAGACGACGTATAATGTCCAAAATTTTAACCAAAACTTTTACATACATTTTTCTGTGTGAGCAGTAAGCATATTGAAATGTAAATTGTATAAAACCGTGAAGCCAACCAAAATGTTGGTAGTATGAACTGATAAAATTCCTTGAGTAGAAATTTACGATAATTTTACGTCAATAAAATCTTCTCGGGCAATCAGCCGCGTCAACTGGTTACCGTAGTAAACCGACGTTTCGGGAACCAACTCTGTCCCCACACTCAGAGTACTGATGTGACTGGATACCTCGGAAGTCGCCTGTATATAAGTCTCAAATCCTATATAATTTTACGTGTTACTCAGTAAATGCTCCTTCGATACTTCAGCAGCAACCTTCCGACTTGGATTTGCATATTTCAACATTTGCACAAATTTAAATAAATCCTTCCGATAAAGCAAACGTTTTGCATTAAGCAAAGGTAATATTAAGATGAGAATACGATTTAATAGATATACTTAAATGAGTTGGCGTAATATAAAACATTTAGAATAGTTGAGATGTCTTGATATGTTTCTCGACATTCTAATGCTGTTCGATTCCATCGTCGTAATAATATTTTGTAAATTGTGCAAATTACGGAAATTAGAATGTAGTTTAATTGTGTTTCGTGTTAATTTATCACTCTTTGGTTCAAATATTCTTCTTGTCTCCATGTTAAAAATCATCAACGTTTATTGGAATGAAATGAAATGAAATACCACCATTTGTATTACAAGGAATTCGTAATTTCTTAATTGTAGGTTATACGATATTTTCAAAACTATTAGTCTATGTGACGTTAAAGAAACTGGGGAAGTCATGCGAAAAATATATAAAGACCCACTCAGAATCGGTACTGGGAAATATAATTAATTACAGCAATATCAGCATCGAGAAACCTTCCTTTTCGTTTGAAGCACTCTAAAGCAGACCTTTTGTCGTCATTTTCTTAGAAGCCAGTACATTTTCTTCTAAGGACCTGCGTGGAGTGCTGCTTGTCAAAACAGTTTCAGCCCCCCCGCTGCAAAAACTGACGCTTTATGGTTAAAAAAGAGATGAGAGAAAGGAATTCGTGAGCAGTTTTGAAATTTAGAATAAAATATACGGATGTCTTCTTGGTTTGTAGCGCCGTGTAGTCTGACCCTAATGATGAAGACAGCGAGGACCTCTGAAACGTCTGTAAAATTCTACCAGACTACACGACACTACAACACAGAAGAAATCCATCTTCGAAATTACTGCCGTGAGAAACTCAAATTTCACTTAAAATAAAATAATCTCTAAACATCGGTATTGTGTTGTATTACTGTGATTTCGAAATAACAGGAAACTTTTCCTGGAATTTTACTCGTGGCCTGCGTGACAGTCTAACATCCGATCTCGAGTTTAATTAAATTTTATAGTTTCCAGTTAAATATTTAAGTGAAACACAGTATGGACATAAGTGTTCTTACATTGGAAGCCATTTTATAGTAAATCCGATACGGTGATATCCAAATTGTATGGAATAATCTGATATTCTGACGACAAACATTGATTCAGTTTATATTTTTTCAAGTTTAATTTGTGTAGTGGCATGTTACCTACGAAGCCAATGATAATATTAAGTAGTGTTTAATCCTAAAATGAAACCTGTATTGTTAAATGTAGTAAAGCAATTTTGATTCCATTTCTAAATATTCAATCTAGATTCAATGTGCAAATCTATTGAAGGTATTCAAATACTTTTAATGAAAGCTAACTGATACTGAAATGTCTTCATGTCAGTCAGCCATGAAGGCTTTATTTCGTATCCCGGCATTTTCATAGATTAACTGACTAGGACAGTATTAATCTTTAATCGCAACCAATTTCCTATCTCAGTTTAAGGTTTACATGCGTCATGTTTGTGTTTTTGATTAAAATATATAATAAAATTCAGGTCAATACACAAAACTTTATTTGGATGTTAAAATTTAAAATTTAAATGTTAAAATTTTAAATTTTAAATTTGCGCCATTCATCACTATAAGGATGTTACATTAGCGCGCTTTCATTCATTTCATGAAATTTTAAATTTTAACATTTAAATTTTAAATTTTAACATCCAAATAAAGTTTTGTGTATTGACCTGAATTTTATTATATATTTTATTCCTATCTCAGGTTTGAACCATAGACGTTACAGTTACGAAACGTGGTTATATGATGTCACCGACTGCAAGAATTAGGCGGAACCTAGAGTATCGTTAGAAGGACGGAATAAATATATAAATTTTGATATTAATTCCTTTAATTGAGAAAATTTATATTTTACCACTACTAAATCACTCAGTTACACTGAATAATCATGGGATTTTTTTTAAAAAAATTTCTTCGTTTAAGTAAGAGGCATAGTGGATGTAATTTGTTTATTATTTTGTTATGAATATTCTATATTAAATTTCATAAAAGTAAGTTAAATTACAAAGCCACACGTCTAAGTAAATGGACCTCGAATCGTCTGCAGGAATCATAATTCGTTAAATTTATGCTAAAATCGCTGAAAATTACATTCCATTTAACAAGAGTGAACATTTATCGAGAGTCTATATGCTTCTGAAATTTTTGGATATTACACAAACGTAAGTCTTGGTGGCGCTCACACCTCAGAATTTCGTAAAGTGTTGCAGTGATTTTATTGAACAAATTGAATTTAGCGACGAGTAATAATATCAAAATTGAGTGCAGTGCCCTTTCGTACTAAAGTTAAAATATTATTTACATTGTTTTATGAAGTGCTTGAAACTTTAGTGGATTTTAGTTAACAGAACACCGATCAAAGAACATTTGAATGAGTTAGTTTCTTTTCATATGAATTCTATTGCCACTTACTAATCACAAATTTGTTTATTATTTTTATTTTAAAACAGAAACATACTATTAAAACTAAAATATCGTGTTGAATTACTATCACAATGTATTATCTTTGTGGACAAACAATAGATCGGTCTTCCTTCACTCATTTTATCACATGAACAGGTCGTGTGAGTGATGTGTGATGACATAAATGTTTTGAGTTGTATACGCGTTTGTCACGTGACACGTTCTAACTGGAATTTGTATCTAAAAACAAAAATATACTCATTCCATATAAAATACAAGCAACTATCAGATCCATGTGGAAACCCCGCAGGTCAAAGTTGACAGGTTGCTTTACGCACTGGCAGACGCCATTTTAAATAACTGACATCAAAATGGTAGCTCATAACCTAGTTTCCGGTCGAAGCCACATTGTGACGTATTATTTCCTATTTTTTGTCATTAAAAATAAAACAAAATAACACTGATCGCGTAGTTGGGTCGGGTTGAATATATTTGGCTTTCGTCGTCCTATCAACAACTTAAGACTTATGTTGTTTTAATAATACATAGACAATAGATGAAGTTAAACATTTAGCATAATTTGTCGTATCATAGTTACAAACCTTCAATGCTAATTTGCAATAATTGTAAAATGATAGAGTTGCGTCATATTGTGAAAATATATATTTAATTAATTAATCTTGTCCGTCTAATCACAGTTTAAAATTTAAAATTAAGATAATTAAAATACAACAGTTGAAATACGATAGTACTTCCAGACAGTCGGAACTGATCTACACCTCTCATCTCTGGTATGTTCAAATTTACTTTTCAAAAATTTACTTTTGAAATATATTATTTTGTTTTCTATTATCTTTATTCTTATTCATTCATTAATATTCATTTATTCTTTGAATTATTTACATTACAGACTGATATAAAAAACATCAACAAAAACATTCACCAACCTAAAAGTTTGTTTGAACACGACGCACATATATAGAACAACTTCAAATATATTAAAATGGAATCTGGAAGTGAACATCACTAATAACTGATAAAAAACTACAAAAAAGTTGCATATAAGAAATTATGATTAAGTTTTAAGTTTATATAATTGTAATTTTTACACACCTGAAGATGGTTCATCTAAGAACCGAAACATGTAGTGAGAAAGTGATGTTCCAAATGTAAATCGAATGTTTCGATAAGGAGCATCACATGGTATTTTAATTATCTTAATTTTAAATTTTAAATTGTGATTAGACGGACAAGATTAATTAATTAAATAATGGTAAAATAAATTATGACCAGGAACGCACGTATTGAACCTGATTACTAATATTATTAAATTTTAATCGAATCATTTTCAAAATAAGGACACCAATAATTGTACTCACCTTCGAAATTGTTTTAGGATCAGATGTGTAACAGATTATGTAAAATGGTGGCAGTTGGATAATAATTAGAAACATTTAAATTATGTAGAGAGACTTTAGTTACAATAATTTTATTAATTAATTACCGATGAAATTAGTGGCTTCTTCTTTGATTGTCTTTTTTTAAAATGTGATGACGTAATAAATTACTTACTTTTTTATATCACACGTCTCTTAAAACAAAGTTAATTCATAGTTTGTAACAACAATTGTATTAAATTATTTTATAAAAATCTTTGATAAAATTCTAATGTGTTGTAAAGAATAATAAGGTTTTTTGATTAAAATATATAATAAAATTCAGGTCAATACACAAACTTTATTTAGATGTTAAAATTTAAAATTTTAAATGTTAAAATTTAAAATTTAAATTTGCGCCATTCATCACATATAACGATGTTACAATAGAGCGCCTTCATTCACTTCACAACATGTTTCGATGTAAAACATCATTTTCAGGTTATTGGAACGCTAGTGAAAACTTGCTTCAATGCGGGAAAATTAAAATAGAACTTCACTGTCTTTCATATATTTAAAATAACTAAATGTTATTTTGTTTCGTTTGTCTTATCGTACAAAAACATGCAAGGGTTAGTTACATGATATAAGCTTTTGTGATGCAGGCGTGACGTTTAAATTTTGATACGTGGCACTGTGATATTAATGATTTAAAGTAAAATGTGTCCTGGTTCATGTTGACGTTCTTGGTAAGATACGAGCTTCTAGGTTATAATAACTTGTAGTCTGATAGACATTTTTCCAGACTATACGGCGTTTAAACCCAGATGGCAGCCATCTTTGTACTCACTCGTGAAAACCTCAGATTCTACTTACGATATGAGTTTTATGGTATTTTCTATGGTAAAAGCAGTAATTGCTAAGAGAAATCCAACAGCTGTTAGCAGAAACGCTCCTTGTAGATTCTCAAGTCTTAATTCTTCCGGGCGTATATTGTCCTTTCCGTCCTGTGTCAACACTTTCATGTCAATCGGGCTAGGAACTCGGGACACGACATCCTCACTCCAGTGCTGCAAAATCCCAGACTCGATCAGACGGACCACCGCCTCGTTGAATGATTTAGTATATGGCGAGTTCTTAGCAAGGCCCATCGAGACGAAATATCGACACGTACACTCCCGCATGACTCGAAGTTTCAGAATTTCAGTCGGTTGTATAGGTGTAACGTTGAAGAAATATGGCGCCTTTCCTTCCAACATGTTTCCGAAGTATGCGTAATTGTAGGGGTTACCAGATTGCGGTACGTGAACTGGTTCGCTATCATACTTAAAATTCCTCATGAACTGTCTATGACACGGATTCTGTAAATAAAGAATGAGAATTTGCGGTCAATATACAGGGTGAGTCAGAAGAATGTTTACAAACTTCGTGTGCGTGTTCCAGGATCAGAATTAAGAAAAAATGCTCCTATGAACACGGGGTCGCAAATGTTTCATTTTCGAAATAATAGCCAAAAATAAGTTTCAATGTATGTCTTGATTTTCAAGTATAAGAACAGATGCTCAAAGGTTGTTCCTCCATTCTCCACACATGCCCGAGCACGACGAATTCGTTCGTACACTCCAGGGTTTCCTCGAATCAACTGCACACGTTTCCATAGGTCGTCTTCATTGCTTATGGGTGTTGCATTTACGACGGGCTTCAAGTGACCTCACAGTTAAAAGTCCAATGGAGTCAGGTCCGGTGACCTCGGTGGCCATGCTACTGGGAAGGTCCTCTTAGACGCGATGGAAGCATGTATGGACCAATAAGCATGTCGCCAACAATTTCTGTACAAATTTTAATTGAAGATCTTTGCTGGAAGCTGAATTCACTTTGATATAAAGTCATTTCATTGGAACTTATTTTTGGCTTTTATTTCGAAAATGAAACATTTGCGACCCCATGTTCATAGGAACATTTTTTTTTACATTTGATCCTGGAACACGCACACGAAGTTTATAAACATTCTTCTGACTCATCCTGTATATAATTAAGCTTAATGATAATAAAGTGAACTTTTATGAGATCGAGTGCGGACAAAAGTCAGGAACTCGTCCCAAAATCTTTCCGATCCATAAAGTTTAATTTTTATTTATGGCTGTAAATAGATCTTACTGTAATTCTGTTACAACTTCCTTCTTATGGTTTGTTTTTATGGGACATTTATGATATGTAATGCGATTATTTCAATTAAATTACTACCCTGCTCTGAATTTGTATCACAATACTAATATAACACTGTGATAGTAGAAATCAAACGTCGAACGCACAAATGCTGTTGAGGGCCAATGTAATTGATAAGTTACATCCTGCAGCCTAGGTCCTCTACCTTCTTCCTTAATAAGGGATTATCGTAAATTTTATTTTCTTATCTACTCGAGTTTTAAAATGGAACATTTGTAAAAACGTTTTTCAACATGTCATTTCACAATAGCACGATTACAGGCTCTAATGGCTCTCTTATGGGTTCTGTCTACGCGGTAGAAGCTTACAAATGTTTTAGGAGTCCTCGTCGCCCTGAAGATGGAGGCAGCCAGGACCTCCGAATCGTTGGTAAACGTCTACCACTCTACACGTCGCTGCATCTCAGAAGACAGCCATCTTTATTTTACAATAAATTACAAATATTTATGTGCTCTCTTACGGCTAGTCTGTAGGAGTTATGATGTGTTTTTCGTTCATCCGTCTTGTTCTCTCTGACAAATGTAAAAAAAATTTAAATTTATCGAAGTAGGGAAAAGAAACATTTACATGGATGCCGCGGGGGACCCCTCCCCCCAACCATATTTCCAATGGTCCTACTAACCATGGGACTTTATTCTGCGATCTTAGTAATAGTTGTGTTGAGAATCGTACTTAAAGTCTGCTTGATACTTACTTCGAAATCAAAATATTTGTTCATAGCTGGCGGATACGGCAAACTCCAGTATATTTCAGCCCTGACAAGATCTTGAATGGAATCTAGTTTCATGGAGTACATGGGGACAGTCAAATGTGATACCAAATTACTGGAATATGCTGTAGCTATGAGAATAGTAAACATTGCCCAGGAAGTCACCAAATATCTCGCCGGATATACTTCGCGTCGTAGTGGTGGAATCGATGTCATGGTGATAACGCCAATGAAACACTTTACCCAGTCACTGAGACCTGTGGATGAAACAGATTTTTACTATATCGGCGAAATAATCCTGTAAATTGAGTACATCGAACATGCCATATTAGATTATCGTTATATATTTATTTATTATTTCAGTCTATACACAAATTTAGTTTTTAAATGTTGTTGTTAAAATTAAAATTAAAATTTAGCGCTTTTCATAGTTGTTTCGATGTTACATTTCAGCGCTTATTATTTTACGACATGTTTCGATGCTATTGCATCATCCTCAGGTTTTTATTGTTATTTTCATCTTTAAAACTAATATATATTTATTAATGCAACCATTTATTGATTTATTTGTTTTGTAGATTTCTTTTTGTAAGTATTCCTTTTGATCTTCGTAGTATTTTGCATATTTTGGTCAATAAATGGTTGCATTAATAAATATATATTAGTTTTAAAGATGAAAATAACAATAAAAACCTGAGGATGATGCAATAGCATCGAAACATGTCGTAAAATAATAAGCGCTGAAATGTAACATCGTAATAA